ATCCATCCATCTATCCAACATCATCCATCCATCCACCTATCCACTCATCCACCCACCTATCCATCCATCCACCCACCCATCCATCATCCATCCATCCATCCATCCATCCATCCATCCATCCATCCATCCATCTGTCCATCCCTCCATCCACATATCCATCCATCCGTTCATCCATCCATTCATTCATTTTCTTCACCTGCTTCTTCTTTCCGGGCCATGAGGAGTTGGTTCCTATCTCCAGCAGTCACTGTGCAAGAGGCGGACGACACCCTGGACAGGATGCAAGTCCATCACTGGAACATTACAAATCAGCCAAGCTGAAATAATTAAAGCCTGAGGGTGCTTTTAAAGTCTTTTCACCTCTTCCAAATTGAAATGTGGAGTGAATTAACAAAAGATGAGACGGAGGAAGAAAACAGGTCAGATGAGCTGAGGGTGATGGGCGCTCTTTTGCAGACCAGATGGGTCATCCCTTTCGGTTAGTCATTGCTCAGAAAAAGAGCTAAATATAGACGGTAACTTTGGTCCAACTCATGAACTTGGAGGTTGTTATCTGTCCATCATGTGCAGGAGAAGCTCCTCTGCCTGCCTGTCCACGGTCAGCAAATCTGGAAGCACCGCTCAATGTTTCTGAGTCAGTTTCTCTGCTCGCCTTGGGCCGTGGATGTACACACACTTAGCTCCCGAATCACTAAGGTCTCTTTTTTTAGAAACGAGAGGTCACTGACAAGAAATAATAAAAACATGTTTAAGATTAAAGGTCTAACATTTGTTGAAGGGAAGCATGTCACCCACTGCCTTCATGTCCGTTTTAAATTGAGATCATTGCATGAAGGGATGAAGCTGTAGCTGTTTTGGCCAAACCTTAGAGACCACCTTTAAAATGTGTAAGCCCTTAGAGTACATGTTCAGGATAACTTTCAGCTACTACCGCACCAATTTTAGCTCAGCATCTGTTAAACCAACTGAGTTGAGACCATTTTTGTGTTGGCAAATGTTGATCAGCCGTGTGGGCCGTTTTAAACTGGACTGACTTCAACAGTGATTCAGATGTAGAACCAATTACTTTCTGAGAGTTTAATGAAAATCTTTCCTCTGGTTTATAAGATATTTTGTTAACGCTACAGACAAGTCAACATACACTGACACGGAAAAAGCATTATCGCCTTTTCGGCTTAGCTGGAGCACGATAATGACAAAATAAAATAAATCCAGTCTGTGATGTACCAAGATGTTCTCTTGCTGAGGATAGTGGTATACCCCCAGCTTCAGAGCAGTCTGTAACTTATTCATGACATAAATATGTCTTATTTATGGTGGACGGGACTTTATGTATTTATTGCATGGACACTTTTCATCAATGACTTCACAAATTATTGCTGAAGGGTTTCTGGAGAGGCATCTTCTGATAATTATCGCTGGATGTTGAACAAAGGAAAGAAATCTGAGGAAAGATGCGTTCAGAACCCATAAATAGAGCTTCTTTTCTTGACTACATGCGCCAGAGCATAAATCATTAACCTGGGAGGAAACCACTGCCTTCTGAGCTCTGAGATATAAAAAATGTGACAGCCATATAGATCCACGCAGGCTGAAATTTGCAGGATTCAGCTGCTGAATTTTTTTCTGGGTTTCTGTTGCAGATGTTCATCCAAACCACCACTCTGACCGTCTCCATGAGCCTGAGTGCCACTGTGTCCCTGGGCATGCTCTACATCCCCAAGGTCTACGTCATCATCTTCCACCCGGAGCAGAACGTCCAGAAGAGAAAGCGCAGCTTCAAAGCTGTGGTGCAGGCGGCCACCGTGTCCACGCGCCTGTCCCAGAAGTACAGCGAGCGACAGAACGGGGAGTCCAAGGTGGAGCTGGACAGGTCCAAGTGACACGAGAGAAATCAGCATTTGACTTTTCGGTTTCAAATCTTAAATTACAATCGAAATACCAGCGTGTACAGTGGTGGATGATGCTACTTTTCACACTCATTTAAATCTAATCAATCTGCTTTGAAGCACAAAAACTGACTGAACCATTTCGAACAATAAAAAAAAAATCTACCTTTTCCTTTTTTTGTATCATTTACATCCACCTCAAGTCAACAGAGAAGTGTTGCTAGTTTTATCTGTCCTTTTTAGGTGATGTTAAAATGGTGAACTTTGCCCTTCAGGAGGATGTTACATACTGTGAAATCCTTTCGGACTGATGAAACAGTACTGACCACTGGATCCTAAAGCACTGCATGGATTATATGTTATTTGCACACATGAATGTTTTGAAATATTGTTCATAAAAAATACTTTTTCTTCTCATTGCACTGGAATAATGTAGATTTTATAATGTACCAACATGTACAGGAAAGGGTGAACCACAAATCTGTCGATATCTAGAGACACTGATGCCTCAGAGTCCTGACAATCTGAATTTAGAAAAAAAACCTAGGATGTTGTGTAAAATTTAAGTGAACACAATTATTTGCAAATCTCACAAACATAGATTTTATTTACAGTAGAACATAGTATATATATATATATATCAAATGTTTGATCAAAGTAGTTATACATTTTATTTAGAAAAAAGAACGTATTTTTGAAATTGATGGCAGCAATACATCTTAAAAGGTTTGGGCAAGGGCCAGTAAACGTATTACGATAACTGAGGAACATTTAGCTAAAGATTATTTGGCAAACGTTCAGTAAGAGGATCGAAGATTAAATAAAGACGGGCAGAGGATCATCTGTCTGCTCAATAACTGTTTAAAAGTGGAACATTTTTAGAATAATGTTCAACAGAACATTTGAAAGATTACCGGTAAAATTCCATAAACAAATCTTCTAAAAAATTAAGAAGCTGGAGAAATCTCAGAACTCAAAGATAGGCCTGTCACGATAAACAATAAATCAATTAATCACATGTTAAATTAAAATTATCGACCTCGTTTTCTTTTATTGGCTTTAACATTTCTTTGTGTCTCTCTTTCTACTGAAGACACTGGATGACAAAAAGCTCAACTCCGGTGCTTTCACTGACCCCTCCATTTCTCTTTATTTACAGTAACCGTCCAAAATCACATTTTTAGATCGTGAAAAGAAGCTAAGCTAAGAAGCTAAGCTACAAGCTAAGCTAACAGGCCAACCTCAGGGGAAAAAAACCCCGTCTTGTTGAAGCTACAGAATTCAAACCCGTGAAACCCGTGCCTTCGTGTAAAAAGTTGTTTTTCTCTGCAAAAAGAAGCTGAGAACTTATTTACTGATTTTTGTGAAAAATGCTATGCTAAAAAGCTCAAACCACGCAGAGCGTCAGCCATTTTGAGAACCGAAGAGAGACAGCCCATGTCACGTCAAGGGGCCTCCCTCCCATTTTTCTTAGAGACACGCTGCTCGCTCCCTCACTATCCATCCTTCGGTTCAGTCTTATACTGCCATCTGGTGGTCGAAGAAAAGGTACCACACTCAACAAATTAACCAACATTTCTTCTTAAATTTGACAATAATTAATAATAATTAAAATTATAATGAACAATTATTAATTAATAATAATTACTAATTCTTGTCAAATTTCAAACAATATTATCGTTTATTGCAATAATTTCTGAGACAATTAATTGCCCAGCAAAATTTGTTATTGTGACAGGCCTACTCAAAGGTCAAGAGTGAAAGTCAACATTGGATGCGATGTTCTGGCTCTCAGGAGCCACTGCATTTTAAACAGTTCTGGTTCTGTTCTGGACATCACTGCATGGGCTCAGCAACACTTACTGTAACACAGTTTACCATGCCATCCACAAATGCTGCTTAAAGCTCTCTCATGCAAAGATGATGCCACATGTGAACAACATCTGGAAACACTGCCACCTTATCTGGACCAAAGCACTTTTAAAATGGACTGAGGCGAAGAGGAACACTGTTCTGTGGTCAGATGAGCCAAAAATCAATATTTTTTTTAGAAACTATGTTGTTTTAATAAAAAGGAACCATCAGCCCTGTTTTAAACCCCACCTCTCTCAATGTATGGGGTGGGGGTGGGGGAAGAGACATTAGCACCTGTGTCATGGGCAGCTAACACATCTGGAAAAACACCATTGTGTCCAGGTTTAAGATGTGCTTTCATCTAGATGTCTGTTTTTAAGGGAAGGCCTTGCACATTTCAGCAAGACGATGCTGTATGCTGTACCCGTTAAAACAGCATAGTCCAGGTGCTGCACAGACCTGCCTGCAGTCCAGAACTGTCACTAACTGAAACATTTGATTCACCATGAAACAAAAAACCTAGTCAAGACTCAGGACTGTTGGGACAGCTAGAATCCTCCATCAGACAAGAACGGGACGTCTCTCCAAAAACTGGTCTCCTCAGTTCTGAGATTTACAGATGGTTCTTTAAAAAAAAAAAAAAAAGAAAGACGCTTCACACTTATATTTACAATGTTTTGGTTTTGTTAATGAAATATCTGTTTGAGATTTTCCAAATCTCTGCATTCTTTCACATTTAAATTTTATCTCTCAGCTTTTTCAGAAGCGGGGTTGTCGTTCCAACTGATGACGACACAAGGTGGTTCCTGGTTGTGGAAATACAATTTAGGGGCACAAACAGGAAACAAGTGATCGTGAACAGGATATTTCTCCTCCACCTGGTACCTTCGACGTCTCTATAGTGCAAAACAATGTTTGGCATTTCCCCATATTGTTAGACAAAATATAAAGCATTCTGTGGAAAGGTTCAGGTGGTACAGTAACATGCACAGGAACCTAAAACAGTGAAGCTCACAGCCTGCACTCAGCTTAGTGATACAAGTCCTGTTAAAATAATTAAAACTGCAATAAAAAACACTTTTCATTCGTGCAATATTAGCGGCTACTCGACTGCAATGTACAGCTCAGGTTTGACCATTTTAATCACTATATTAAGGGTTTTCTGTACTGGTGCATCCCTTTCAGTGTTTTACCTTTGTTCCTGCAGTTTGTCATTAAGGCAGCCATATCTATGTTTGTACTGCCCCCTGCAGGAGAACAGCTCAATGACACCTTTAAAAAAAAGTACTGTAAATGTATCAACTCCACAACAAACCTTTAATAAAAAATTGTTTATTTTAAATGAATTTCAACTGTCATGTCAACTAAAATTAAAAACACCTGCGACGTTAAAATATAGGCTCATCTGGGGATGTCTATAAATATATTTATGACAAAATGTAAAGGAAATCAGCTGAAATGTTTGCTAATAAAGCACTTGGCTACTCGCACGCAGAGAAACACAAGAAACTGCTCAGAACTCAGATCTGTTCACGTCAACACATAAACGCACGGACATCAGACTCACAGGCGCAGCTTAAAAAGAAGAAAAAATAAAAAAGACAGGATTTCATCAGCAGTGCTGTTTTAAATAAAGAGGAAGCAGAAGGTTCTGTTCTGTACTGAGTTGCAGGACCACTGCCGGGCTGGTTGTGTGAAACAGCAGCATCGCTACGTTCCTTCACACGAGGAACCGCCACCTCCGACGTTCACTCCAGGAAGCCATCCAGAGTCAGACACTTGGAGGGCGGCCGGGTCACCTTCTTCCTTTTAGTTTTGATCAGGGGCCGAATCTCAGATAAAGGAGACTGAGGGACGGGTTAAGGAATGATGCAGTCCAGATAATACCGCTGATTTCAACATTCACTGATGGACCTCAATTTATTAAATACATATTATCAAAGATAAAAAAGTTAAAAAATAAATAATGTTAGGGCATATTTTAACATTAGAAGCTGCTGTAACTTTTAGCTGATAACACAAAAATGAAATCCTGCCTGCAGGTTTAGTGACTGAACAATAAAGTGGGACTAAAAATATTAATCTAAATTTAACTTTCAAAACTTTTGTTGAATGATAAGCTAAAAAAAACTATGCTTCAGGGTACAAATGCCTCATCATACAAAGATCCACCCACAACATGTTTCTTCTTTTACATACCCTGTATCTGATGTTTTAACCATAAAATGTTTCAATGAATAAACTAAAGTTCACCACGATAAAGTTTTTATACTTGTATTGCTTTATTCAACAAGTGAAACTTTCCTGCTGGGCCAAATTAAATGAATATTCTGGCAATGCTGAAGTGGGGTTCAGTGCTAGTTATGAATAATAACAGTATCTTATGTGTTTTAGTAAATTGTTTTGACAGACTGTATATATCCAGAGCTCTGACGTGAACCCAGAAGTTGAAGCTGGAATGGGACCAGAGTCCTCATAGGCTGGTTCCAGGACAAGTCTGAAGTCCTGCTCCCTCTAAGTAGCTCAATACATCATTATCCTTAGAAAAAAAACAACAACTAAAAATAGGAAGTTTCTTTTAGTGGTTCACTCTTGTTGAGTCCTAGATTTTAACTTCCTGCTTTGTGTTTAAATGCTGATTTTTTTGTTTCATGCTTTGAAAACAGCAGTTGTGTGTGGTGGAGTAGGTGGGACTTCAGACTACTTCCAAAGATTCAACATGGCAGCTCTCAGGATCTGTTGGCTTTAATTACCAACACTGAGAGAAGGGGTGCACCCAGGGCTTCATTGGGTGGGGTGGGGTGGGGGGGGGTTTGTGTGGTCCTCCCCCAGATAATTTTGAATAAAGTAGATGCCATTTCCTGCATTCTGGTGTATTTTACAAAGGTTTATTACAGTAGATTAACATGAAACAAAACATGTAAATTTTGTTATTAAATCTGTGACTGCACAGCTGCAGCTCTGCAGGTAAGGGCCAAATTGAGGCCACTGATTGGTCAGTTGCTGACGTGCCTACTGGACCGATTGACAGGTGGCGCGACTTGTGCAAAAAAAGTAATAGATTTTACTGGTCCGATTAAGACTATCGCCATTTATTCAATATTTTGGTGAATCTAAGGTTTGAGTTTCCTTACAAAATCCTAATGGTTTCATTTTTCAGAGGTGCCAAGTTAAAATTTAGCACCCCCAAAACGAGGCTAAACTCATCACTGAAGCCAGTTCATATTTATAATTTACTTTTAAACACTTCATGTGTGATTTACAAGTGTATTAAGTGCAGGATCATGTCTTACCTTGCTAGTTTAGTATACCCCACACCGCGGTCAGGTGCGCCTCCTCATCCTCCTCCCTGCTCTGCACCATGAGACAACAAGCGCTGCTCTAAGTTTTTGTCAGCATTGGCTTAGAAAAGAGTTGCTCTCAATCCTCCTGATCAATTCATAAAAGTGTCCTGGTCGCTCCAACATCGCCTCAAATATTCTGACTGCGTGACAAAAAGTTTTATGAGTCGAGATCGTCTCTTTTTTTGCAGTTCAGTTAACTCCTGCAGTGATTCACACATCAGATTGTTCACAAAAGCATAGGAACTTATGCGTAGTGCAAAACTTTAATTAAATTTTTGTGTTTTTTTAATGACTTTGAACTTTTAGGAGCGGAGATTTTTTTTAAGAGTAGAAGCGGAAATGCGCAGCGACAGGTCTGATGAGATATTAAGAAGCTGAAAATGAGTGTTTATGTAATTATTTTCAGTTTACATATCCACTATAGGTTTTATTTGTTCAAGGCGGTCAGATTTGTTCATAATTTTATTATTACCAGGCCTGAGAGTTACCAGATCCAAGAAAACAGTTACCGGAACACACCCTGTCAAAATAAGAGTGTTCCCAGATCCTGTTCCGGCAGGATCCAGCTCAAAATGATTTAATCTAACAGGCATTTTAAATTTCACAGGATTTCAAGTACAAATTAGAGTCAAGAAGAAAAAAATACAATATGAAAAACCTCCTTCCTCCAATCCCTTTAGGTTTGAAGCTTAAATATAAAAGTAACACAAGATGCTCTCAGTGACCTGGAAAAAAGGATACAGGTTGGATGAATTTAGTTCTTCCTCCAAATCCATCAAAACCACTTCGAACCTGAAAAACAAACAAACAAACAAACAAAAGCATGTTATTACAGAACTTCAAAGCAGATGTTTGTGTTATTGTGTTGTACGTACGAGTCCAGACTTCCTCTGAGGGTCCAACATGCTGCCAAAAGTCTTCTTTCTGAAGAGAAGCGAGTTCCTCAGGAACGGACTCAGGACTGGATCTTCATCTTGAGGCTGGTGTGGAAACGCACAAACAAAAACTCAGTGTTGACGTTCACCAAACAAATAAAATGCATTTTGCTGAGAGACGATTACAAACATACCCTGCTCACAGGTGGACACTTCTCACTATGTTTCGTTCTAAAAAAACAAAACAAAAATTAATTTCCATGGAATTGTTGCTTACAAAAAGCTTTTAGGCGTAAAATAAAACCCATATTTTCATACGGAGTACTAAAACGTACACAGGGGAGTCACGACGCAGCTTCTTCGATGGGATCTGCGTTGGTCTCTGGGTCGTGTTGTCTGGAGTTGTGATGTCATACGTCATGTTGAGATCAATGTCGTCGTTACCTGCAGGCTGGTGGAGGCGCGGCGGCTTCAGTTCCACCGGAGCCGGGCTGCAGAGAAAAGCCACGAGTAAATAACCCACTGTTTTCAGGAACGCTGCATCAAAAACCAACATGGATGTAGCTAACGAGACGGGAGGACACACCTTTCAAAGACGAGACGACTGAGGGCTTCGTTTGTGCGCGTTGGCGTGCTCAGAGTCTTCTGAAGAAACTCCACCTTTTTCTTGAGACTCTGTGGACAAACATGGGTAAAACTCTGCATTTATTGAATCAAGAAGTGCACGAGTTGATCAACGTGCTCTTACTGAGATCTCTTTGTCAGCACTGGTCAGGTCTTTCTGCAAAGACTTCATGTCCTCTTCGGTTCGATTCACCTCACATGCAGCTTTCTGCAACTAAACCAACACACTCGTCTTTATCCAACACTTGAGACGTGAACCTGCTGGGGAGGTGACGAGCTGAGATGAAGATACCTTGTTGTTACAGGACAGCACTTCTCTCTTCAGCTTCTCACACAGCTCATTGGAAGACTTGAGGCTGCCTTTGAGATTATCATACTCTCTGTGAACAGAGGAGCGCTCATAAATATGATGATTGAAACTTTAAATGAAACAATAAAAATAAAAGAATCATTCATCCTTTTAATGGTTTAGTGTTGTTCTGCACCAGTCGATGGATCTGTTGGTGTAAACAGAATGTGAGCAGCTACGTACAACAGGCATGAGTCATTTTAGCAGCACTTTAAGATTTCATAAGATATTAAAGGGCAGCACGGTGGCGCAACTGGAGCTGCTGCCTCTCAGCAAGCAGGTCCCTGGTTCAAATCTTGATCCGAGGACCTTTCTGGGTGGAGTTTGCATGTTCTCTCCGTGTATGCGGTTTCCTCCCACAGACCAAAAACATGCATGTTAGACTGATTGGTAACTCTAAATTGTCCCTAGGTGTGAGTGAGAGAGTGAATGGTTGTTTGTCTCTATGTGTCCCTGTGATGGACCGGAGACCTGTCCAGGGTGTACCCCGCCCCGTGCACAGCGACCGCTGGACATGGCACCGGCGACCCCGTGACCCAAAATGGAAGAAGCGGGTAAAAGACAATGGATGGATGGAAGATATTTAAGTTATTTTACTTTAATATAACTATTATATATAAATATAAATAATGTGTTATCTAACTTTAGTTAAACATCATCATCATTGTTGTTGTTAGTTAACTTTAGGAGTGATGGACCTTTATCATTTACAACAAAGGCTGCTCTGGGCCCGTGAGCAAGACCCGTAACCCCCACCAGCTGCTCCCCCAGGCGCCCATGATGTCAGCTCTCTGCTCCACACAGAGGGCTGTGGTAGCTCGGTGGTCTGTGGTTGTGTCAGGAAGAACATCTGGCATAAAAATCATTTTGAAGTTGTCCTGTGAGTTAGTTCGCTGTGCCGACCCCTGAAGAAGAGCGCAGCCGAAAGAAGAAAACATTTTTTAATTAATTTTACAAACTTAACTGTTTAGAACAGAGGTGGGCAACATTTTTTTTTCCCAAAGTGCCACATCAAGACATTTAAAGCAACCAAAGGGCCGCATAAAGAATTGGAAAATAAATTTAATTTATGACAGATAATCTAGACCAGAGGATCCCAAACTTTTCCATGCTACGGCCCCAAACAGCATTTGCTTCTGGCTGAGCCCCCCCTCACAAACCCACAAACAACAATGCTACAAAATATGTAAAGAAACATAAACTTTTAGAACGTTTTAACTATTATTCACTATATTCTATTAATTATTACAGCTGCTGAGCATAAAAATGTTAACCAACATGTTTTAAACACTGTATTATATTCTCACTGAAAAAAACAACTTTTCAACAAACTGTTGACCAGAAGAACAAAACAAAATCAAATCTAACCTCTCTCTCTCTCTCAAGCGTGTTTATCTGGAAATGACAGGTAATTATTATTATTATTATTGCTGTTTTTTTAAATATATATCTTCTTCTCTCCAGCTTTCAGAGGTCTCCCCAGAGCCCCCTGGTGACCCCCCCAGGGGGCTGCGGCCCTCCACTTTGAAAAACACTGATCTAGAAGACCTTTTTCATTGTAGCATGGTTAGCATGCTTTATAAAACAAGTCTTTCTAAAATCCATTAGAACGTATTCTGTAAACTGGCCCTGTGACAATACATGACGCATGTTAGCAGAAATATGCTAAACAAATGTATATATTTGTGTTTCTAGGTCTTTAAGGTTCAGTCTAGTTCTGGAAACACAATTTCTTAAAAATGTTTTTTAAATAATTTTGAGTAAGAGGGTTAATTTAAATTTCCTTAAGTCTCGTTAATAAATTGCTGCTTTTTTCATCAATCTTTATTTAAAAAGTTGTGTTCTATGTCGTATAAGCTTCGCCCTTTAAGGCCTTCGCTTTAGTGGGTTTATCCCGTTATGCAGAGCATAAGCACTGAAAAAAATTAGTCCACGCCCACCTGCTGTGTGGGCCCCACCCGGTCCGTATAAATTACGTTAAGAGCGGGAAATCGGCTCCCATTTTTTCTTCAGCGAGCTAATATAGCACTGTCAGAAGAACAAAGAAGATAAATTGTGTAAATGACCAACCTTTGTGAAGGATGCTTGGCCCGGCAGTCGACCTCCGGTCGTCCGGTGAGTTCTCCTCCCCGAGGAGAAGATGACAGCAGTCTTATTCCAAGGTAAGCGTCGGGGAACATTTCTCAGTGACAGGTCACTACACGCTGGACAACGCCATCTTGTGTTTTTCCTCTTATCGCCGACCCTCGGGGCGAACCGGATGGTTCCTCCGGGGCAAGGCGTGCTCAGCTGCAGCCCCCGCTGCTCATTCCCTCCTGGGGAGCGTAGTGTAGGTGGAGGGGGGCTGAGTGAATGCTCACCCCATCCCACCTCGTTTCGCATCGGCGATCACACCGCTCCCGGCCGACAGCGCCCTCAGGGGTTGCCCGGCGGAACCCAGGAGGAGGCTGACATGAAGGGACCCCCCTTTTTTTCTACGTCCCTCGCCTTTTCCCGCCAGTTCGGATGATCGGCGGAAAGGTTGTTTCACTGGGCTCCACTCTGGCTCACCGTCTTGATTCATACGGCCTCGCGTTCCAACAGGACGTTCGACGGGCGAGGCCGCAGACGGTTCTTTCCTGGTAGATTAGAGGAGTCGGTCCCCAGTCCGCTCCCATCACCAGAGTTGAGGGATTCACCGAGCGGGGCTATTCCTCGGTAACCCCCCCTGGAGCCAAGCCTCGCGGAAGCTTCCGGAGCGAAGCTGCCCAGGTCAGAGCAGCGTCCCGTCCCTCCGGAGGAACACGAACCAGACGGCGACCACGCTCTCCAATCGAGCCCACCGACGTGTTTTCAGGCAGCCGCAGTTAGCAACAACGTGCGCTGCTAGCATATAGCATGTCCAAGGGACTGAAGGCCGCAGACCTGCCTTGGAGACAAAGAACTCCCTCTGTAAGGCAGCTGACGCCAGCTCAACATGTGTGCCTCTCCCACGGTTTGCCTGTCGAGGACTGCAGCGCGGATGACGATGATCCATCGACCCACCTGGCTTCGTTACTCCCCTCGCTGCCGGAGAATCTGCACAAGACCTGATGAAGCCATCGCGGACGCGCTGTTCAGAGCAGCTTCAAACCATGCTGGCGAAGTGAAACAGTCGGAGGAGGTGCCAGAGGCTGTGTGCCACCTCATCAAGCCGCGCGGCCCACCCCGTCCCGCTGGAGGGACCGTCGCGAGCAAGCTTCGACTTTTCCACGGCCGCGGCTCTCGCTGAGTTCCACCACCAGCCCCGCCCGTCAGAATCCAGCCCTCTTCACTCCGGCAGCCTGCAGCTCAGCGTTTCCCCAGAGTTCGCCTGCAAGACAGCGCTCTGGGCAAACAATCGCAGAGCTCATGAGAGAGAAGTTTCTCAAAATGACGGTCTCCGGAGGGTGTGTGTAAAAGTGACACGAAAGTTGAAATAAATCATCATTAATGATCAAAGTGTCTGTTTTTTAGCCAGTCTGTAAGCTCGGATGAGCTCACAGCGGCCGCACACATAAGAGCCGGTGTCCTTAATAAGGGTTTTTAAACTCACCGCCGCTCCAAGACATTACTAGTCGCTTACAGGGCACGATGGTAAGTGAAAATAACTCGTTATAATCCCGGGCTGCACGATTTTCACCCAAGCGATGTCAACTCGCACTCGTGGGATGAAACAGCCCCACACACGAGCCGGTGTCCTTAATTAAAGGTTTTTAAACTCACCGTCGCTCTAAGACATGACGAGTCGATCACAGAACAGCCTCCACACATGAGCCGGTGTCCTTAATTAAAGGTTTTTAAACTCACCGTCGCTCTAGACATGACGAGTCGATCACGGCACAACGGTAAGCGAAAATAACTCGTTACCAACTAGAACTGCACGAGCCTCACTCAAGCGGTGTCAACTCGCACTCGTGGGATGGAACAGCCTCCACATGAGCCGGTGTCCTTAAATAGGGTTTTAACTCACCGCCGCTCTAGACATGACGAGTCGATCACTAAAATGAACAGCCTCCATCCAACGGCGCTGCGTTGATGCTGGCGCACACACACAGCTGCCGGCGCTAACCAGCTCACATCGGTATAAATGTGGTCCGCAGGCTGGTTCGGGTGGAGGTCCTTCTCTCTCACAAGAAACGACACCCGTCTCAACGAATCAAACGCGGGCAGCCGTCACCCACCGCGTCTCAGCTTTCGGCAGCTCACCGTAGCTTAAACGTGAAGCAGCTGAAGAACCCGGTAATGAGTTCCGCCTCCCTCCAGCGCGCGCCCCTTCAGCGAGAGCGGCGCGCGTCCCTCCAGAGAACAACGTGTGCTCCCGCGGGGCTAGCAGCCTTCACTCCAACAGCACGGCGTAAATGAAGTCACGCCCTTCGCCTTTTCAACGTTCGCACAGCGACGTCAAACGCGCAGCCCCACCGCGTCATCAGCTGTCACACGCTTCGCCTTCAGCTCAAGTCTCGCCCGGGATCACACAGAAAACATTCCCGCGACGCATGACGGCGGTTGAGGGGCGGACTGCTGACAGCCGTACAAAACATGACACATCACTTAACGCACGTTCACCCTACGAACGTTATGTAGAGTGGCTAAAACATGCTCGCCGTTTTTCAGATGGATGGACAAGGTTTTATGCAAATGGTACAAGTTACAGTTTGCAACCCGAACCCCTCCATTCAGAGGAGTTATAAAAAAAAAATATAAAAAAAACGGTCCCGTCATCATCAGACTGATTCTCATCCCTAAATGCAGAAATCCAAGTGTTTTCTGATAAAAGTAATATACAGAGTCCCCCAACAGAGAGAAAACACAAGGTTTTTACTCACGGATCGGAGGGGTGAGACCGTTTTTTGGATCTGTTATATAACATCCAGAGAACGCATACCGATCATCCTAACACAGCGACGAGAGTTTTTGTTTTACCTGGATGATCTGCTGCTCCTGTCACTTCAGACAGGAGGCGCTGATGCAGGATCAGGTGTTGACATCACACCTGTTAAATCTGGGCTTCGCCATAAATTGGAAGGAAGC